TTTGGGTAAGCATGCTGAATAGTTGTTTTGAAAAATGTCTAGGGTGGTACACACTACTTTGCTTTCTCGTAAAATGTTAGTCACTATCACAAGTGATTGTTCTTTGATCTCATTTTGCCATCATGGTTATTCCAGTCTATTAACTGTACATGTAAACTGCATGTGAAGGCATTAAATAACGTAATTATATAGTTAATATGACTGAATTTATGAGGTGCGGAATTAGTAAAAAGTATTGGCTATAAGGATAATAAACCATAGAGGAACTCCATAATTGGATTTCTTGATATCCTTAAATGTTTTTAAAGCCATGTGCAAGGTCCCGAAGTTAAATTGAATTGTTGAGGTTCTCCATGATTTATTATCCTTATATCTAAATTATACAGTAGACCTCCATAAACACTTAAGGGTATCGTGAAATTGAATTTTAGAGGTGTATAACGATATAAACGGGGCTCTATAAATATAAGTGGTGATATCCTGGAACATTTAAGAACCTCCTGAAAGCAATTTTGATCAATTATTTGTGGAGATCCTGAAATATTTCAGGATATATCTCTACTATAAATACCAGGGGTGTTTAACGACCTTGACTACCCTTTAGGGTCTCGCACGATCGGTGATCATGATATTTCGAAATTGAATTATGGAGGTGCTCTAATATTTCAAGAGGTCCTCAATGACTTATGGATTATAAGCACATACTCTCCATCTTAAGTTGTCCTTGTCCTGAATGATACATGAAATACTTGTCACTGGGTGTAAATCAATCAAAGTAACAATACTTGAGACGAATCTGCAACAATTATTCTATACATTTTAGGTCACCTAGACCAAACGTGAGCAAACTTTTAAATTTGCCACCATTCCAGAGCTCTCACATTTTGCTGGGTCTTGTTGCTTAATCGTTATTTCTCTGTATAGAAATTGTGGACTGCTGTTTTTCTGTTCATCTGTTTCTTCTTTTTGGTCATAGTGTTCTTTCTATTTATTTCATTTTATCACCCAAAGTATCTTCTCTCCTTTTGTTTTGAAACCATAGAGCCATTTGAAACCAAACTATCTTCTTTTATTTATATATAAACTACTTTCATCCTTTATACAAATGTTGTTGCTCAGTTTAGGTAATTTGTGTTATGATTCTATTCAATTTATTGGTCTCAAGCTTAGCTGATGAATGTTATTACAGGGAAATGTTGTGCATATTGAAATCAGTATTTTACAATCTCCTTACTTCCACTGGGTGGTAGTGCTGCTGGTAAACTATCAGTCCTCAATGGTACCATCCAATCAACAGCTTGTTTCCACTGGGAGGTAGTGCTGCTGGTGAACTATCAGTCCTCAATGGTACCATTCAATCAACAGCTTGTTTCCACTCGGAGGTAGTGCTGCTGGTGAACTATCAGTCCTCAATGGTACCATTCAATCAACAGCTTGTTTCCACTGGGAGGTATTGCTGCTGGTGAACTATCTGTCCTCAATGGTACCATCCAATCAACAGCTTGTTTCCACTGGGAGGTAGTGCTGTTGGTGAACTATCAGTCCTCAATGGTACCATCCAATCAACAGCTTGTTTCCACTGGGAGGTAGTGCTGCTGGTGAACTATCAGTCCTCAATGGTACCATCCAATCACCATAAAATTGAGAATGGAAATGGGGAATATGTCAAAGAGACAACAACCCGACCAAAGAGCAGACAACAGCCGAAGGCCACCAATGGGTCTTCAACGCAGCGAGAAAATCGCGCACTCGGTGGTTGTTCCAGCTGGCCCCTAAATAAAATTGTTTAATAGTTCAGTGAAAATGGATGTCACACTAAACTCCAAAACATATAAATGAACTAAAATTAAAAAGCATACAAGACTTACAAAGGCCAGAGGCTCCTGACTTGGGACAGGCGCAAAAATGCGGCGGGGTTAAACATGTTTTGTGAGATCTCAACCCTCCCCTATACCTCTAGCCAATGTAAAATAAAGAAACACATAGCAATACGCACAGAAAAAAATCAGTTCAAAAGAAGTCCGAGTCCGATGTCAGAATAGGTAACAAAAGAAACTTATCAAAATGACAATGATACATAAATTAATAAAGGACTACTAGCAGTTACTGACATGCCAGCTCCAGACCTCAATTAAACTGATTGAAATATTATGTGTTCATCGTATGAAAATCAAGTACAATCCCTCCTGTTAGGGGTTTAGTATCATACCATCATAAAATATATGAGAAGAACATAACCCGTATCATGCCAACAACTGGTTTTATAATAAATGTGTTTATTTCCGATGCAAAGACCCTATGAGTGAATAAATATTAATACCAAAATATGCAATCCTTAATGACCTGACAACAGCTTGTTTCCACTGGGAGGTAGTGCTGCTGGTGAACTATCAGTCCTCAATGGTACCATCCAATCAACAGCTTGTTTCCACTGGGAGGTAGTGCTGCTGGTGAACTATCAGTCCTCAATGGTACCATCCAATCAACAGCTTGTGTCCACTGGGAGGTAGTGCTGCTGGTGAATTATCAGTCCTCAATGGTACCATCCAATCAACAGCTTGTTTCCACTGGGAGGTTGTGCTGCTGGTGAATTATCAGTCCTCAATGGTACCATCCAATCGACAGCTTGTTTCCACTGGGAGGTAGTGCTGCTGGCGAATTATCAGTCCTTAATGGTACCATCCAACCAACAGCTTGTTTCAACTTGATGGTAGTGCTGCTGGGGAACTATCAGTCCTCAATGGTACCATCCAACCAAGAGCTTGTTTCCACTGGGAGGTAGTGCTGCTGGTGAACTATCAGTCCTTAATGGTACCATCCAACCAACAGCTTGTTATTCTGTATTGCTGATATTCTCATTGTAAATTCAGTTTATCAAAAATGTGATTGTATAAAAATAAGGTAGCAACTTTTTCAGGCAAAATTGAAGATTATGGGAGTTATGCTGCTAGGTCCTTTTTTATGGATGGATTGGTGTTTAACATCCAGTGGTATATAGCAGTGGTGCATATTAGAGCAAGTATATGTTGATGCTACATGGTTATGATCTGTTTTGTACAAGAATGATACACTGAGACATATTTTCAAAGTGCAAGTTCACAGGGTAACAGTCCACATGAAGAAGACATGTCACCATACCAAGACTCATTATTCTGACTCTCAGATGACCTGTCTTTGCTCTTATGATGATGATGATGATGATGATGATGATGATGATGATGATGATGATGATGACGATGACGATGATGACGACGATGACGATGATGATGATGGTGATGGCTGTTAAATGTACAGCGGCAAATTAAATACATATTCAAGACGAGAACACATTAATGGGATATGAACATGAACCTTGCTTTGTACTAGACTGACACTCTGATCCAGTTTTTGAACATGCTATTTCACACGATAAAGAGTCTGCAGGAAGACACATTACTCCGACTCATAGCCAACAAGTCTTTGCTTTTACTCCTAAAATGCAGAGTGCATAGCGGAGAAGCAGAAAAATACAAATTTTCAAGTCTGTGGTTTGGCAAGACTGGGGATAGAACCCATACCATACCACACTTTAGGTGAGCACAATTTTACCATACCATGGAGGCGGTTAGGTTTTTATTTTGATGCTCTTCAAATTTGTATTTATCTTGATTTTAAGCATTTTTGATTTGATTGTTCTTCATGAAGTGATTCACACTTAATTTGGTATCCTTCATTTCAACAGCTTTTAATAGATCAGGAGTCTAACATGGTTAAAAAGGCATTTTATCCTATCTATGAAGAAATTAACTGGAACACCTGTTATATATTTTATTAGGTTCCTATGATTGAATAAATACATAAGATTTTATTTGCAAAACATTGATAGCTTCAAAGGGGGCTGTGTGCCTAAGAATAATCAGAAATCAAGTTATGCCTATGACATTAACCCTGCCCTTTTTTCTTGACTGATTTTGGTTGAAAATAACATATAAATTTAACTATATGACCAGAAGGATAGGATTGGAATGGGAAAACTTTTTTTTCACAAAAGTAGCTCTTGGCTCAAGATGGTGCAAATAACATTCGCAGAAATCAAGAAGGATTCAAATGCTTTGTGAGTTGTTGATGACCTTTTTCATATTAAAGCAAAGAAGCAAGATGAGAGATATAGGTTCTCAAGAGCATCTAGTTTGAATAAGAGGAGATGTGAGGTATACATTAGTATACATATTTCCCAAACAGATCCTTAAAAGAAACTATCTACTGTTTCAATGATCAAAGGTTCTTAAGATCTTAAGATTGAATTAATTTTCATTAGTAAAAAGGTACTTTGAAATGATAATTTCCGTATTTAGTTATTTTGTTATTATTTGCTTTATAATTCTTTACGAGAAATGAGAGGCAATTTGAAGATTCACCAACCAGGACAATGACACCAATAAATAACACTTGTACCTGTAAGGAAAATTTCTATTGAGTTTAGTTCCAATGCTTTTGGTATATTTCAACAAATAATCAAATAAAAAAATGTAAAAGGCATATTATGGGTACCATATGAACTAGCTGATATTGCCAATATGAGTTCACAAAATATTGTGTGGTTTCATTAGTACAATGTATAACAAAATACTAGTTGAGTATTTGTGATTTTGATGTTAATCTAGACTTATCACCTGTTCATATATAAAATGTATAGACATGTATTGACTGATAGCTTGGGGTTTGATGTCTCGACAAATCTTCCATGCATTTTCAAGACAAAATATATATACAGTGTGCAGAGGCAGATTCAGGGGACAGGACCCCCCTTATGGAGGTACATATATGGTTAATGGTTTACTTTTATAAATTGTAACTTGGATGGAGAGTTGTCTCATTGGCACTCATACCACATCTTCCTATATTTAATTAATGCATAGACTTTTTGGGATCCCCCTTTTTCAAAATCCTGGATTCGCATCAGGTGTATGATTTATAATGAAGGTTGTTTAACTTCTAGCAAAAGAAATCAAAAGATCACATAAGATATTTTTGTTTATAAATAGAATCATACATCAGTGTAAATATTACATAATACATTAAAAGCCAAACATGTAATAATATATATATCACATTTGTTATGGTTGATCGACCATAGATAATTACTATGCATACATAATCCATAAAATGTCATCTATAATTGGTACTTTCATATCCTGTTATAACTATAATGATTTGTATTAACAGAATGCTGAAACATTTCAATCTTAAGTGCTTAATATGATTAGCCATCTGTCGTCAATCTTCTGGACATTTATTAGGATCTTTACAGCAATAATAGTGAACAATCACACCATTGGGATATCTCACAAATGCACTGAAAAACAAATGAATAGATAATTAGTAGAAGAGTAAAATAATCAATTGTTATTATAAAATGATATATTTATGATTGCATTGAGATTTTTTATGATTAGCTTGTAACTCATCTTTCCTGTAACTTTACATATAGAAATATGATGGTGATGTTTGCTATCTGCTATTGAACTCTTCAATTAATCATATTTACTCTACCAAATTATTTATGAATTTAGGAAATAATCCATAAATATTAAAATAAACTTCATGAATACCTAAAAATAAAACTTTAGCATAAACAATATTTCATATCAAAGAAATAACTTTCTCTTAAAAACAGAATTTCGATGTTCTCTGTGTAATAATATATAATAACAGTGCAATAACAATAAATCAGACAAAAATGTCACGTTTCTTGCATGATAGGTGTCATCCTTTCAAAACTTTTCTAGAGATATGTTGTAGTCTGTCTCATGTTGTGTTTTTTATTATTATTGATTTTTACTTTATTAATGTTTACAATAGTTTACAAGCAAGATTCACATGAATCCAATCATTGAAATGAATCTTATCATTGAAATGAATCTAATCATTAGAATGAGAATAAGGTAATTATATAAACATAACATGTCAGGAAGATTGAGCACCTAATATTGAATAAACAAACAAATTGTTTTAACAATAATTGGTAAATTTTTACAGTCAAACAACAAGGCATCATAAAATAATGTTGAAAGAAGGTAAAATAGGGATATTTTTACTCAAAAGTCGGAGATTTGACCTCCCTTTCTGATGTCTGAAGTAGAGATAAACAAATTTTTGAAAAATATGTTTGGAGGCTCTCATTGATATCGAGAACTAACGCGTTAATTGTTATTAGCACAATATGCAAACGAAAATAAGCCTATGTACGTATGCATGAATCTTGTCGTACAAACATGCCTTTAAACAATACCTAAATAGAGGACAAAATGTGATAATATAATGTAGCCATTATAAAGCTATAAACTATGTAAATAAATCTATAAACTTCTGAACATGTTTTATAATTCAACCTTGATATTTACATGTATACACATTTATTAAGTTCTTTCACAGGATGTGTATTTCCCGGAGAGAGTTATAAAATAACAATAACTAAGCAATTTTCCATCCCAGTTAATCTGATAATTCTCATTCAGAAGCTGCCTGTCTACTGCTACTGTTTTGTATACCTTAACCGTACTTAGACAGGTTGATGTCCTGAAAGTAACTTGGGGCTACAGATGACCATGTGTGGTCATTATCTGGACATAAAAATCAATGATAACTGTATAAGTATCCAACACAGTGTTGTATGTAAGACTTGTCAGTGTTAACACAGTAGCTGTCAACTTCAGGCATGTACTTGACAGTACTTCAGTTCATACAACTTCCTCATCTTACAAAAAGAGATGTGAAAATTTAACAGATTTAAACTAAATGAACTGGTAAATTAAAAAGACAGAGATTGGAAAAATTTACAGTAGCCTATATGGATGCCCATATTAGTAAAATGTAATTTTTTCAATGTTATTTTCTATATGTGTCTAATGTAGAAGTCATTGAACATTGTAAACATTCAAAAGTTATTATTGAAAGGTTAGCCAAATTATATCAGATTGTGACACAATGCTTAAACCCATGTCTTGTTAATAGTCAGTATGCAATTTTTCAAGAGTTTACATCAGTAATAATGAAGCAGTTATGACAACATTATCAGCCATACGATCTTAACCATTTAAGTTTGAAAGTGGATAAACCAAATATGTATGACCCTTTCTCCATGATACTACTATCATGACTCTATATATTTTGTTCAGTTCTACTCAGCTGAAACATAATATTCATGGGGCCCATCCTGCTACTCATTATGTTTGACTACATGTATTCATTACTCAGATTCATTACTGCACATTTCTTCTGTACTGAAATTTATTGGTAACCAAGGATTTTTACTTATTATTTTGTAAATCCAGGTAAAGTCCAATGATAAAATTCAAATGACAATGTACAGATGTCATCTATGTTATTTTAGGTATGCAACAAATATGGATTTAATCATTAGTCATACACAAGGACATTCATTGTTCAGTTTCTGTTCAAAGTTTATAACTTTTTACTTCTGAAAACATACATCATCTGCATCATCCAATGGTCATCTTTATTTTTCTTAAACTCACTTTTCCAAAACTGTATAATTGGTCATCATATGAGCTGCATCCAGGGGCACACCCCTGCCTGAATACGCCCCTGGCGTCAGATAGAAACTGACCTTATGCAAGAGCACGTATACATGTACACGTATAATACTTTGATTGATTTTGGAACATTCAAATACGAAATGAAAGATGAATTTTGGTCTGTTTTGTAGGGTTCTTATATTAACTCAATTTTCAAACAGTTACAGACTTTGCATACAAATTTTTTCAACTGGAAATAGGTTTTAAACAGATGTATTGATATTAGTTTGCATAAAGTAGATTTCTATCCGACAGCAGTTCATATGTAGTTATCATGGTTATCTTGTTGATCTAAAGTTACACTCAACATTTAAGTTTTGCATTTTTTTAAGGCTTAATAAACCTATAGATTTATTCTTTGTTAATGTAACTTCTCTCGGGTCTTCTGTCCTATAGACCTTACATTCAGTAAGGATATTAAGTTGTAATGCATTGATTTAAAGATGTTTGCATGTATTATATATATAGCCCTTTAAAAACTTTAAATGCATACATGTATTACATAATAATATCTTGTGAATAAAACTTCAACAGTTTCTGTCTAAGAGCTTTGATGTATGGTAGAATGCTTGGTCATGTGGTGTAGAATCATAAGAATGACCCCTTTATAACTCTTTAATCTATAGAATAAATATATATTGTGCAAGAAGAGGATCTCATTCTATTGGACTCTTGTTCGAGGTGGATAGAGACATTTACCTGACTCAAAATATTAATTAAACCAAATTCTAATGCTAGAACATGTGCATTTCTTGCTGATAAAAATACATCTACCTGTTTACTTCACCTGTTTGTTTACATTTCCTCCTTCTCACAAATGCATATATGAATACAAGATTATAAACCTGAATAGAAATATAACCTTCAAATCAAACATCTGAGTCACAACCAGTAATAAAATGTAATTGCCTTATTGATTTTACCCAGCTATAATAGGATGGTTAGTCAAACATAATTTCCAGAAGTCAGTTGCTCTCAAAGCCATAAAAACAGGTTGTAACACTCAATAGCAGCTATTTGAGGTAGTTATTAGAACCTTGATTAAACCACAATAATGAAGAGAAGCTTAATTCAAAACGTAATTGATTCTGTGTAATTGGTTAAACATTTCCTGTAATTACACAGAAATTAAACAAAGATGATATTTAATTAAATATTACTGCTTCCAAAGTTATCTTTACCCAGATCTCAGAAAAATTCTAAGAATAAACAAAGTTAATAGGATTATTAAAGCCATATATATATACATAAAATAAAAATAAAACGTCTTTTTTAGAACTTTTAGAAGAAATGAATAAAATAGACAAATCTTAGTCATCCTGTAATTTCTATTATTAACAAGACAAAGCATTTTGATAGGACTAATTGAGTAAATGATGAATTTTGTTAGAAAGCTAAACTAATGTTCCATGTACAAGGTCATAAGATTCAAACTTGTGGTTGCAATGCATCATCAGAAACGCATACAGTGTACTTTTAATGTTACATTGATCATAAACATAATTTCTTAGTTTCTCTGTCACATTAACCAATCAAAAGCTGATCTAAAAGTCAGATCATAATAAATGCAAGTATATTGCATTTAGCTATCAATATATTAGCTATATATTACATATTATATACAAACCATTTCTTATATGTCATTAATAATGTCTTTCAAAAGCAATCTCTTAATTGTGCCTTATTAAACAACTTGGGGAGTTTTGTGGTCATGGCTAAGAACTTTCATATACATATATCTTTCAATTCAAGAATAGACAAGTACATTTAACTCCATTAAACTTGCACTATTACAAATTAGCCCCTTCATGCATATCTTTAATCGATATGCAATCTTTTTTTCTTTAAAGTAATGATTATTGAAATTTATAAACTCAAGTTAGTTGACCTTGCAAGGTTTGAATACAGGGATTTTTATCCTAACATAGATCAATAATTTTACACTATTGTCTGAAGAAACCATTGTTATATGTGTACATTTTCAAAGGCATTGCTTTCCAGCTGTATTATAAATGTCTATATGTAGACACACATTCTATAGTTAGCTGGAAGCAGACACTAACAAATTTGGTTGTAGAATAAGAGAAATAACCCAAATTGTAAAATGATCTTCTTCTAAGTTCCAATACAATGTAAAAATTCCAGGTTTTTCCAAATTTTCATGAATATCAACAGACACTACCAAGCAAAAAACACATGAAATAAAATTCCAGGCTTTTTTCAATATTCAATATAGCAATGCAATCCTTTACATTTTAACTCTGTTTAAAAAATTCAAAATACCACCAAACTAGAATAGGTATTTGACAGACCCCAAAAGTGCTCACACATTACAACTATCAATGTAAACCTGCTGACTCTAAATGAAGTCATTCTGTTTATCAGTTTAAAAGAGATGCATTAGGTCCTCTTTTGTTTGATTTTGAAAAGTAGGCAGGAATGATATAACATATTATCAAATTAATTACACTTAATCACCTGGATCAATGTGCAACTTCAACAATTGCCACTTTCAAACAGTATAGACTAGAATATAATTCTTGACTGAAATCCCTTTTTTTCATATCTTCTGCTCACAATTACTTTCTATCAAAATCATTATTAAAGGTCAATAACTCCTATAAGGAGTCGTCTGACAGTTTTGATGCATAGAGCTCAACATTCTGCACATTTTTGCCCCTGTTAGATTTTGTCTAGCAGTTTTCAAGATAATAGACAAAACTTGCATTTTACCCCTATGTTCTATTTTTGGCCATGG